AATTGTCATTGTCAACGAGGTTTGGTGCACCTCACTTAAGTTGCACACATGACACTACGAGGGGATCACTCAAACCTCCCCCAACTTAACTCCAACAGCCTCGTTGGACGCTTGTCCTGCACATGGGTCTCAATAAACCTCGGATTGGCCCCAGGCTCACACATGCTTTGATGAAACCTTCTATTAAGTCACCATTGGTTAGATCCATTACTACCACCAATTCTCTTCACTAGTGCAAATATATTAGTTCCTTTGCTGCCACCGTGTGCCCACCTAGGTGCATAGTCAAGTCTGCTGTTGCCACCATGACCCATGCCTACTCATGCAATGCTCAAGAGGAAGGCCCACCTCCAAGCTGAGCACCAATGGTACTCCCCAATGCCACCTTGGGATTGGCCCCTTTAGAGTCATCACTTATCCAACTCGCTACAAAGAAACCTTTTTCCATGAGTAGCACCATTGTCTTTTCAATCCTTAGTTACAGCTCCTCCCAAGCCTGCACACCGGTCTCCCAGCTGCAATGTGTTCAATAGTTGCAAGGATCATGATCGAACTGGGATCTTCTCCTCCTCATCCTTAACATATTGCCCCCTATCTTGTAAGAAGTTCTCTAATACCTTGGAATCACTATTGCCTATGAGTACAGGTAGACTTTCACAGCTCGCTCTTCGAGACATCAGGCCATTCAGGGTCCATCATGAGAAGGGTCGCATCTTCTTGCAAAGCAACTAGATTCACCTTTGAGGCTTTGAGGTCCATCCCATACGAACATCACAGGTACTACATTGCTCCTCTACGTAAGCCTCTAAGACAGCTACCTGAGATTCCAAGGTAGTGAAGTCTTGCCCCGACCTACCGTCTTGGACCCCTTGCATCACAACTTGCTCCAAATGCACCTCGAGGTGATTGACAAGTTCCTAAAATTCAGCCGAAACACCACCAGCCATGGTCCCAAACCATGGCTCTAATACCAACTATCATGATGCTAATTTTTCACTAAGCCGACCAGTGTGACTCCAAGCAAAAGTCAAACCCGGACAAATGCAAGGTCAGCCATCTACAAGAACAAAAAAGTGGAGTGTAGCCAGACAAACACAAGGTATACATGAAAGTATAGACAATGCCCACAACCCACTCTTATTAGCTATATACATTTGGTCATCATGGATGCCCCTCTCAAGGTTTCTGGCAAGGGGTATATATAACTCCGAACAACTACCCACACAAACCCATCAATTACATGATCATTAAGGCATGCACCCCCATTATTATCCACCACTTAGTGGGCCATGACAAGCCTATGCGCCACCATCAATGCCTTACCACTCTTGGCACGGGCACTGCATTAAAGCTATTGCAAGACTCAAAGGTTGTCAAAAGCACCGATACGGTTTGGTGACCAACCATAAACGAAGCACCATCCCTGGTCTTCAAACAACCCATCAAAGCTCTCACAGGACACGGAGGTTGGCATGAGTTATGAGATGGTTTGTTCACACCATTAGCTACAAAATGGTCAATTTACATTCATTAAACACCATATTTGTTCTTCAAATACCACATCAAAGTTCTCATGGGCTCAGAAGTCATCATAAGCTCCATAATGGTACTTGGTCCCCATTGAGTAAGCATAGAAAAATCCGAATCCTACCAACTTTTCTAATCAAAACTTCCAATTCTCTTTTCTTGTGAACTTCACAAAATTGTGTGTAGTTCCTTAAACTTTTGAGTATCAAAACAATGCTCCCAAATCCTTGGAATTACAAAAAGTATATGGGTTCCCACCCAATTGTGTTGTACATAAATTGTATAAATCAGGAAAAAAGAAAAAGTCTTCTGCACAAGATGCAGTATGAATCTTTAATGTTTACCAGTAAGGGATAATTCAGTTAGTGGAAGTGAATTGGATAGTGGCATAGGGCGATGACCACAGTTTGTGGTCTTTATGTGTTTATGGTGTTTGTTGGGAGGCATTATGCATATGGATTTGTTTTGTTGTGCTCTCTCTCTCTCTCTCCACCCATTCTCCCTCTATTGAACAAGTTCACTCTCTTGTAGAATGGGAAGGTTTGTGGGCGTGTTGTTTCTCTCTTTTTCTCTCTTCATCCAATCTTCTCGCCCCCCTTTCCCCCTGCTCTCCTTTTCTTTAGGCCACCTCCAGTATGAGGTGCCCACCTAGGGGTCGCCTAACGCCTTTTAAAACATTATGTAAGAGTATAAGTGTAGAACACTAAGTTAAACTAATCTTCCCTAATCCAACCTAAACATTCTTCTCATCGTCCCCACAAGCTCCCTCTATCCTTTATTTCCAGATGATGTTGAGGTGAAAGTTCTTGATTTCAGCCAGAGAGGAGGCAACTCGGGAGGAAGGAAATTCCTGGAAATGGAAAAATTGAAGACATTTTGGGTATGATTGGGTCAAGACGAATCAGATATTCCCCCCCACTTTGCCTTATGGAGGGAAGGAGTTGGATTCCAGCATGGGGTGGTGATTTAACTGTCCAACATCCTAACCCTTAAACCAGGCGGCCCAATCCTGATTTGGCTCTGGTATCAACAGCTGTCAATAATTTGACAAACTCATTGTCTATGACTAAAGTTCCATATTTGCAAAAGTTGTCACACATGTGACAAGCACTTATATTTTGGTCAGGAATTTTTTGGCTTTGACTCAAACATGTCAAGAACAGTCTAATGCAAATTGTGTTACCTAATTTTCACTAGATTGAGAGACACTGAATATTCATCTACAGAGCTAATATTCCTCTTTCTTACTCTTCTTTATACAACTATCTTAATATTTTACAACTGTAAACCCTGTGCTTATTGGCCCTCTCCTAAAATGTTTGTGAGGATGGAACCATATTTCACGGAGCTTCAAAAAATTCTCTGGTTTCAGCATCTCCTGGTACCTCTGAAAAGATTTCCTTGTAATAATGAGTACATATCTTGGTTCATGAAAATCAACATTGGGAATGAAACATGTGTTAAATCCTAATCTTCCATTCATATACTAGAAAAAAAGTTGGAATGTTTAGGGGGACTTCTTTTTTCTTTTTTTTATCACCTACATTTCGAAATGGATTACAATTCTTTTATTTCATATTCACACTGCTGGTATGTGTGAGGTTAGAATGAATCCTGTTTTCTTCTTCTTTTTAACTTTCCAAAGGAGAAGTTACACTTTCAAATTCCTGATAGAAATTATTTAGGATTTATAAGTATTACCATGAAAAGCCCACTCAAGCCCTAAAAGTTCAAGAGGGCAGAAGGAATAATTCTGTGGGTATGCAGCATGAAATGTCCATTTATGGAAGCGATATGGGAGACAAACCTTAAAGTTGTAGAGCACACCAAGAAAGACAGATAACCCCTAATTATTTATAGCAAAAGAATGGTGGGTTATATGAAGAGAACAGGAGTTGATTGTGTAGAATGATCCATAATATTTATTTTAAGTTGAACTGCTAGTAGTAAGGTGGTTTAGGATCTTGTCTAGATAATATGAAGGTGATGATGGCCAGGTTCCACAACATGGCTTTGCTGATCCCAGCAGTGTGAGATGATGCTCTGACTGATATGGCTGAACCAAATGATGGTGTCAAGAAAAATCATCATGGCAAGAGCTCTCATGAGAAGACAGCTGTCAGCCTTAGCAATTCTGTTGGATTAGGACAATCCTTCATAAGAGAATTTGGTGAGAGTGACTACACATAGGGGCTATGTTACAGACAGGAATACACATGAGTGTGTGAAACGAATGCAGGTATGAGATATGCCAACCAAAAATTGGGCTTTCAGACACAAAACATCCGTATTCCGTACATAATTTAAAGGAGGGGGAAGGTGAGGTTTTAAGTGAGACAAGGTACTTCAATAGAAACATTTCAACAAAAAAAACAAAAATATCAAGTTATCAATCAACCCAAAAAAATGTTATTTTGACAAAAAAGGTTAGGTAGATGAGTCTAATGTTCAAAAGTGTTAGACAAGTGTGTTGCATCGTCTATGGTGAACCAACATATGCCAAAAACCATGGCATGTGTATCCAAGTTACATAGTAGATGGCAGGGGATTAACCAATTCCATTTTTAGAGATTCATGTGGCAATAAAAGGAACTAATAGGGAAGCCAGTTGACGTTTTATGATAGGATTTCCTGTAGTTACAGCTGAATTGCATAAAAAATAGTATGTAGTTGTCCACCTCTCATAGTTTCTTGTCACCATTGACTAATGGGTGGAAGAGAATGAAAATTTACAAGGATTGGGAATGGTGTTTAACTATACAGAGTTCACTCGAAGTCTTTAACGATCTCATTCGCTTCTTTCTAATCCTTCGCGAGGCAATGAATACAGAATGGAATAATGTAGAACTTCAGAATGTCCATAACTCCGAAACATCACAGAAAGATTCATTTGAATTTGAAATTACTTGATGTTATGATGATGCTACAATTTCCATGAGTTATGATGTTCACAGCTGGTTAACTAGCAACATCAAATATTTTTTTTGAATTGTAGTAACATGCCATGTTGATCATTCTAAAATAAAATATAGATTTTATCATTTCCAATTAGAAATTTATTTCATTCTTTATACTGCTTTTGCATTTCATTTTCCAATTTTGGCAAACACATAATTATCAACATAGAAAGAAAACCCCAAAAGTTATGATCATCTACAGTTCACACAACCCCTAACTTCCAACTATGAATCCTCTGCTTCCAATCACAATATGCGATAAATCGAGCAGAGAAGTTAGCAGAAGAGAAAGAAAATGAGAACCCATATTACTAGTTTTTTTTTTTTCAAGAACTCTAAAGTGTTGCAATTATTCCTCAATAGTCACCCAAAAAAGAAAAAAAAACCCAAAATTATTGAACATAAACTAAAAGAAAAGATAAGTAAAATGGTCCATGTAGGTAAATTTGAGTAAAGTAACAAAATCCAAGAACTACAAATAGACGTGATGGTAAAACGAGAGAGAGAGAGAGTCACCGTTTCTTTTGGCCCATTTATGTTATCATTTGAGCCTTCAATATCAGGCACAAGACCATAAGGAACACGACCTGGATCTCTGAGAATTGCAGTGGCATATGATGAAAGGATCATGGCCGCAAAAAAAGTGAAAATTAAGGAATTCAATAGGCCATGAGAGCTTTTCAAACTCAGCCATTCCTCTATAAATACGAAGACAGTGGAGTAGTAAACAAAGACAATGAGCAATAGGACCACAAATACAGGAAGAGAGAGGAACCTTCTCTTCATCTCCATAGAAAATCCTAAGGAACATTTATAATACACGCCACATATTCCTTTGAATTAGAGGAAAACCGGAAGAGAATTGCAGGTTTTCAATAGAGAAACGGTTTACATAGAGTAAGACGAAGGTGGGTTTTTCATTTCCTAGAATATTTTTGAGAAATTCGTGCTGGAAAGAAGTGCGTAACATAGGGAGTGATTTTGGGGGCAGAGAATTGCATGTTTTCAATAAGGAGTGATCGTCGCATTATAATATAATGGAATAATATTAAAAGACCTTCTTGAATCAAAGGAAGAAGTTTATATAAAGCCGGGGCTCTAAACAATCAAATGAGTCCACCTCAAAAATGTTACTAAGAGAGGTTGTTTTCAATCTTGATGCTCAAATATCTTCAAATTGATCATCTCGACTTCAAGATTCATGAACACGAGAAAAAAAAAAACGGATTTCGAATTTTAGAAATAGTGTATCTTGTAATGCATTTTTGGATTGTCAATTTTCAAGATTTTCAAATGTTTATAAATATGCTCGATCTACACTATTTTTGAAGCTTTAAATTTTATGATTAAAGATGGAAAACATGTTTTAAGGCTATCACAAAGATTTCTAATATTGAAACTACATTTCTCCATACTATTTGAATATGCGGTTTACTCTGATTGTTTAGAGTATCGGCTCTATACAAACCGCACCCATTTTTAAATATACACAATTTGATTATTATAAATAATTACAAAAAATAAAAATTAAAAATCACACATTCCAAAATATTTTTTTAGCTCAATTAATATAGGTCGTCCATTTCAGTGAGACGCTTAGATCTAAGCCTCAAAAGGATTTTTTTTCCTTTTCAAAAATTTTTGATGACTTTTTTTCATTAAATGAACAATGATAACAAAAAAGAAAAAATTAAGTTTGAGTTTATAAAGGCCTAGATATTGAAACTCGCCAAATGGATGGTCTAGATTCATTGTTAGAGGGGGACTCATATTGAGCACACAATTCTAGTGTTTTAAGGATTGATTATTGGAATGAGGAGAGGGTATGTATAATTTTTAAGATCATACAAATGCCACAAACATGGTTTTTCTAGAAGTATAATTTCTTTAGGGCAAGCTTTCTATGCTTCCTCTACAGCATAAAAGTTCTATCCTCCCCTTTATCCAACCGTCCATTCTGAATGGAGGGCTAAGACCCCATTCACAATGTCCCGTCTCTACACTATTTTATTTTTTATTTTTTCTATAAACTATTTCGACACCAAATGTTGGACGTTCATCCTCTATTAAACTCGCACTAGCAAAAAATATATAAAAAAAAATTTCAATAAAATAAAATGATCAAAATACCCCTGAAAGTTTCAAGGGTTATTGTGGTCATTATATTTTATGGAAAAATTATTTTTAATACTTTTATAGGTGCGCCCCAATGAGAAGATAGCACGTACCAAATTTCGTATTTATACAATTCGTATAAAAAAAACTAAAAATAAATTACTTTGAGATATCGGATCTAAGATCAAATGGTGAGTGGCTCTCTTGATGAAAATTGGACGGCTGGATGGTAAGGGGAGGAAAGAACTTGTATGTTGTAGTGGAAGCATAGAAACCTTTCCCGAGCAAGCTTCCTATGCTTCCCCTACAACATAGAAGTTCTATCCTCCCCTTTATCCAACCATCCATTTTGAATGGAGGGCTTAGATTGCCCCATTCACAATGTCACATCTCTACACTATTTGATTTTTAATGTTTTTTCTATAAACTATTTTGACACCAAATTATGGATTTCCATTCCTCTATTAAACTCACACTAGCAAAAAATATAAAAAAAATATTTTCAATAAAATAAAATAACCAAAATACCCCTGAAAGTTTTAAGGGGTATTTTGATCATTATATTTTATCAAAACATTATTTTTAATAATTTTTATAGGTTCACCCAATGAGAAGATGGCACGTACCAAATTTCATCTTCATACAATTTGTATGAAAAAAGTAAAAATAGACTTTGGATCTAAGATCAAACGGTGAGTGACTCTCGTGATCAAAATTGGATGGCTGGATGGTAGGGGGAGGATAAAACTTCTATGATGTAGGGGAAGCATAGAAACCTTTCCCATTTCTTTATATTACATTGACACAAATAATGAAATCATTCCCCTATATGTGTGTGTACACTTGAAATTCCTTTTTTTCTCATGTCCATGCATCTTGATGTCGCGATGGTCAATTTGAGGATATTTAGGCATCAAAACAACCGCTTTTAGTGAACGTTTTGAGGTGGACTCTAATTTGATTGTATTGAGCCTCAACTCTATATAAACTTTTTATATATGTGTGCATGTGCATGTGCATGCTTAATATGCATTTTATATATACATATGACAACGTTTCTCTATGAGTCCCAAGACTCGTATTTAGAAAATGTGTACTCTCCCAAAAATCTATTTTACGATGGATTTTTAACACAATTTTTTAGGAATATATAATCTCTAACATGGAAATCATGTTATATAAATAAACAATTTTTTAAAACTAGAAATGATAATTTTATAAACAAATATTCAAACTATTGGTTTTAACCTTTTTATAAAGGACCACTCATTTACTCCATCTTTAATATGGATGTTGAATGCCTCGCGCTATGCAAATGTAGGAATATGTCCCTCGACACATAGAACGATTTTCTATATATCATCATCTGAGCCTTATGCTAACTATTTGGGGTTGGCTAAACGAATTGGGTTCTGCCATTCTGCTCTATCAAGGTTCATATGCTTAGTAAGTCCACAAGTTACTATATTTTTTCTTATGACTTTCATACATGTCCTTTTGGGCCCTCCCCTAGTCCTTTTAGAGTATTCCATTTGAACTAAATTGTACATCTTAATCAGTGTTGTATCAGGCCTACGATATTCATAGCCAACACACCTAAATCTATTTCCCTCATCTTATCATTTATTGAAGCCACATCTAGTTATTTTTGAATGTATTCATTTCGAATACATCCTTTCTTATCTTGTCATTCATCAATCTAAACTTCCTCATCTTAGCTACATTCATCCTATGGGTATGTCATTTCTTGACCGCCCAATATTTCGTTCCATAAAGCATGACTAGTCTTACAGTTGTCCTCCTTCAGTTTCATTGGTATACAACGATCCTATAAAACTCCAAATGCAAATCTCCACTTCGCCTACTCCGCTCAAATTTTATGCATGATATCTTTTTCAATTCTCCATTATCATGGATTATCGAACCAAGATATAACAAATAATCTATTTTAGGTATTTTTTTGGTCAACAATGTTAACAATTTTCTATAAATACAATAGTAAATATAGTTGTAAGCCCATACTTACATTCCCCAAGGCATAAGACATCCATCATAAAAATGGATACAATGGGTGTTCCTTCCAAAAAATGAAGGAAATGCTTTCATAGACTAAACGTAGTTTATATTGTAATGCATTATCTAGACGTCCATTTCACCTTAAATATAAATGCTCATGTATTCGTACAATCTATATATTTTTTTGAGCTTAAAATTTCATAGTCAGCATTGAAAATTGATTTTAGAACCATCATAGAGATTTCCGATGCTCAAAGTGCTTTCCAAATGAGGACTCGAGGTGAGGCTTTATTTTATTTTCATAAAGCTTACGGCTTGTAGAAACTACATTCAAAATTAAAACCCATGATCTAAATAATTTTCATCATAAAATCATTGTTTTCAATTTTGAGATTTTTTTTTTTTTTTGGCATATTAGTGATCTCCATGTTAGAGATTATATGTTCCTTTTTTTTTATTTTTGCATATTAATGATGCCCATGTTAGATATTATATATTCTTAAAAAAAATTAGTTCCAAAATCGATCTCAAAAAAGGAATTTTACGAGGGTGCTCATTTCTACATATGGGTCTTAAGACTGATAGAAACCATGTCCTATAAAACATGATTATGTCCCTAAATTAGAGTCACAGAGAAAATAATGTAATTCTAATTTATAGTTAGGGAAATTTATCAAATTGCCTATGAGATATGAAGAAGTTATACTTTACTCATATCTTTTGATTAATTTCAAAATAAATATAAGAAAAATATGGTTTGTGTTGGAATAGTTTTAAATGGGTAAAACAAATACGTGTACATGTGCTGGGAAGTGTCCGCCTGCACCATTGCGATAATATGCACATATCTATGAGAGACGTGACTTGGTCTTGTGGGGGGACACACTACATCCATGTTCCCTCCATACATTGACCAACTTTAATAGACTAAGTACAAGCCTTTATGATTGATTATAGGTCATAGGTTCTATTGGCTTGGTTTGAGAAGATTTGTGGATTTTGAGAAATAGTATAGATGGAGTGCCATAGTAAGTTTCAAATGTTCCAAACGAAATGGATCCAGCTTTTTTTTAATCATTTTTTTATTTTATAAAATTTATTATTCATAAAATAAATTTTAAAAGTGCATTATATAATTTATTATTGCATCATAACAAATCACCACCATTGATGCGAGAAGCCCCAAATCCTTGATTTGGCTAGGAGGCACTACACCGCTTTGGGCCCAAGAAGCGAAGGGTTTTAATGTGATCTTTATAAAACCCTAATGAGGGTGGCATGCCACCCCTTGCTTCCGTAGGTTTTAAGACTTGTATCTTATATAAGCTACTGTAATGTCATTATTAAAGGGGACATTACACTTTCTCATATCATGGTGTATTCCCCTTATCTTTTTTACACCAATTACAACACTCAATTTTAAAAATCTAATAAATATCAAATCACAAAATTAAGAGAAACCATTTTATGAAAATTGTAAAATCTTAACACTCACATATCTGAACACACATATGTCACCACGCATGTACCTCACACATGTGCTATAAAACACTTCATACTTATCAATGTTATATGCCGTAGCTGAACAAAGGTCTCATATCTAGGGTTGGGCTTTTCACTCATACCCATTGGGTATTGATGTGATGGTCTTATGAGATGCATGTGTGTAACACATTAGCCATTTTTGTGCCACACGCAGCTTGTGTGGACCTCCTTAACTGGAATTAGCCTACAACAATTTTAATAAATCCTTTTTCCTTTGAAATGAATTGTTCAATTTTTTTTTAAAATCATGGTAAATTATTATTCTTATTAATTCTCATTAAAATATCATGGTTTGGTACTTCTCATAAATCCAGTGGCAAAAAAAGGGTCCCACTGGAGGTTGG